GCTGTATTATTCAAGATTATTGATAGATGACGCATACTGATAGTAGAGTAAATGATTCAAATTCGCCAAATTATGCTCAAAAATAAGTCTGATCAACGATGAATAACAACTGACTCTCTGAATTATATTCATATACAGTTATAAAGTGAACTTTCTGTCGTAAAAAACCTGTCTATTTTATCAAGAATTAATTGTTGCAATAACTTTGCCTGTAATATAGATACTGCTTTTGTTGTTGTTGTGCTTTATAGAACCGGATTCACGTGTAATGTGCCAAATTGAAAAAAAAGGACAAGAAAGATGAAGAAATTGGCGACAAGAAAATTGGACAAACATGTTATTTCTTTCATTATTACCTTTCTTTTTTCTAGCTGTTTCTGTCGATTCTGTTCCAGCCGAAAAGTACTCTAAAATGATATTAATTTTTCGACCATCAGTTGATTTATCTAATTGTTAGTTGCTATTTTTTGAACACTGTCTAACCGACTGTTTCTTTTTTTCTTTAATTTCGCTTGTGCTTTTTTTTTTTTTTTGCAATTTTAAACTTATCAACAACAACCTTTTCACAACAAGAAAGAAGAAGGTTTTAGAGAAAAGTTAAATTTTGCTTATTTGTTATAATACAACAAAATGTCATCGTTAACATATCAGGCTACTGACTAAATTAGAAGCCTGGTCGTTTTGCTGTTGTCGGAGTCTCATCTTTTTCTTTTCCCTCTCCTGTATCGTTCTTTAGTGTGCGTTCTTACAGCAATAGTTTTTGAAAAATGACAAGCAAAGAATAAGGCTCTTAAGGTAAATAGGAAAATAAAATTCAACATTATCTTCAAGTGAGAATGAAGTATAATCAATACAAAAACGAGGTACTCATCTACCGTCGTCGCCATCGCCATTGTCGACATCAACATCATCAATGTTACTGTTGTAATTGCTATCATCATCGTTGTTATCGTTCATCTTACCGTAAACGGTCTTGTTTTTTTTTTTTTTTTTCTGTTTGAATGAGGAGGAGGTAAAAAAAGCAGTAGAGAAGAACGACTATATACAGATATATACAAATATATAAATGCTAAATTGGTTGATTTGATGACAAAAGAAAATACGGCGTTAAAACTTTTATTTGCGTTTGTACGTGTTTCTTTGTCTGTGTGTGTGTGCGCATGTATGTTTTTTTCGACCAATAGATTAAATGCCGTTGGTAACAGTTTGTAGAAAAACGTTGTCAAAACCAAAAACTTCTTGTTTTTTACAACAAAATTTTTGACCCA